CAGTGGGGATGACCCTCCGCGAGCTTCATCGCAGAGTGACCGCATCCGCCTCGGCACCCACCAGCACTGGCATACTCACTAAGCCAGACCCAGTCTCAGGCGGTGAGTACTTGTCATACGCGACTTATTCGCTAGCTGCGCGCACCGTGCCTGGTGCGTCAAAGTCATACATGTGGGACAAGGCATCGGGCAGCATGTTGTGCGCTCCCGGCAAATACTCAACAGTAAAGTCGAACTCTCCGAGCTTCTCTACCCATCAAGCCTGCCTACCTGATGAGAAGGATGTCCCTATGCCACAGCATAGTCTCCACCCCAGCTAACATCTCCTGTTCGTGGATAGGGTAATTCCGCTGGGCTGAGTTCATCTTTGCTGAGTAAAATGCGGCGATTTTCACAGACTTCCAGTCGCGCCCCTGTGCCACCACACCTCCCACCCCCGTGGGGCAGACATTAGTCATCATCCAGACAGGCAGTTGGTCTGGCCTGTAGGTAAGTGGTACCCGATGGTGTTTAGAGCAAGCATTAACATAAAGCTTTACCTCTTCAAAAGCGCGCTGCTCTGTTTCTGTCCAATGAAACAGAACTGTGTTATCGCACACAGCTGACAAGACCCCCAATGGTATACGGACCTTGTGTATATCATCCGCCAGGTACCCGATGGCCCCGATGAACCTGCGACAGAGATCACAATTCACGGGTGTCTTCCAGGTGAGTACCTTGTCCACTTTGTCCGGGTCCATACAAATCCCGTCATCGCTCACAATCCAGCCCAGAATTTTCATCACAGGGCACAGAAATTTAAGTTTCTTCTCACTCAAGTAGAGCTGCTCTCGTTCGAGGATACGCACAATCATCCATACGTGTTCAATGTGTTCTTCGAGCATGTCAGAGTAAATGATAATATCATCCAGATACACATCCATGAAAATTCCGATGTATTCGCCGAATAAATGATTCATCATGGCCTGGTAGGTTGCGGGTGCGTTGCAATCCCCTTGTTGTAACACATGGCTAACCATGTTTCTGTCAGGGGTAGTCATAGCCGTCCGCGATACGTGTTCGGGAATCACTCTGATTTGCTCATACGTGTCTTGCCCATCCATTAGCGAATGAAACTTCTTTCGGGCTACCTGACGCAATATACCTTCCATGTCCGGTAAAGGAGAGCTAAGTTTTCGCGTGTTCTTGTTTCATTCTCAAAGATCAACCACTGCTCTTAGGCGATCCGTCCCAGGTTTTTGTATGAATAACATAGGTACAGTATTTCCAGCACTTGTCATCTGCCAGCATCCTGACGCTAGGTACATGCTTCGCTTTTCAGTCCATTGAGGTCATATTGGTTCAGGGCACCTCGATGGTCACCACGGGTAGATTTTCGCTTCATCAATTAATGGGATGGTATGATTTATGGAGCAGAGCAGTGGAAGCTTCGTTTCAGCAGCTTTAGCACATAATGGTCGCACTAACTGCTTCAGGTATTCTCGTGTCTTCTCAATTTTGTCACTAATGATCTCCGCTACTCTCGACTCCAGGGTTGTTACCCCTTCTCCTGCCAAGGCTAATGGCTTCATGCTTCCCAGCATGACGCGTGATGCGTTGAACCCAACAGTCACGCTATGCTGATAAAGAAACAGGGTCCCCAGTATGAGGTCATAATTCTGTAAGTTAATCACATCGAAGTATCATTTATAGTCAGCGCCCTGATACTGAAACTGGACAGCCGTCCTGTAATTGACCTTCGATCTTGACCCTTGGATGGCCAGCTGAATTGTCAGAGGCTTTTCCAACATGGTGAGCCGTGCATTAACCTGTTCTGCAGTCGTTAGTGACATGAAATCTGCTAACAAACCTGTGTCTATAAGCGCCCTAGCTGGTCGCTCATTGATGAGCACCACAACTATGATGGGTTTTGGTATGGCATGGGTGAAATCGCAGGTTACCGCAGTGTTTCGCTGCAACAAAGGGTATGTTCCTGAAGGTACCTGTACCCCACATACTCTGATCTCCCATAATGGGTGTCCTCTATCCAAGGTCTCACAGGTCCTTACTGTCTCCCCTAGGTTCATCCAGTCGGATATCACCAACCGAAGGCCCTCCTCATGGTCCGAAGGAAGACTAAACATCCCAACCATCCTATCGTACTGGACACCTTGCAGTGCCCTGTTCTTGCGCTGTACTCGACGTGCATACCATCTTTCAGGGTCCCAATATCGCCAACGCACTTTTTCTACCGGCACCAAAGTATGTATGTCTAATCCCTGATCATACAACAGCCAGTTCCCGTTGATAGTTTTATGACAGGTAAAGTGCGGGCACTGAGTACAAAACGGACTCCTGGTGCACATCGGGCTGAACTCACTCAGCCACCAAACTAACCGATCCAATATAGGATCTCCCATTGGAGGTTTTTGATCTGTGCATTCGCGATCTTGTTTTCTCAGCCAGCGCCTATCATGCCCTAACTCCAATCCTAGACGGATGAAATATGCACTGTCCAAATGAAAGTTCGGGTTTTCCAAGCTTGCGCTATCAATGTTTGTCCGAATCTCGGTGCGTGAGTGATCGATTATTGTATACTTGTCATCCGAGATTCTGAACACAGTAAATCGATCAGGGTCATCCCAATTATCTGTCAATTGTTCGTCATTCAGGTACTTGACCCCCTGAAGCAAATGGATAGCTCTCTGGGCTATCGGATCCCGAAACTCCTTAGGTCGCACTGTTCTCACTGCTCCCGCCTCGTCTTCTGTAATGAGGGATTCGGGGGCATTCGACAGCCACATGCCTATCGAACCTAGGTACAGTCCATCTTGCATTTCAGTTGTGTTTGCTAGACCGCGCAATCCTTCTGACAATTCCTTTTCCACGTGTATCCCAAAGCTGGGTATACCAGGCAGCTTGCCAGGTGAGCTAGACTTTATATTTATCTTCTTGGGACAGCCCCGCGACAGATGACCCAACTCCTTACAGTTGTAGCAGTGTCCCTCAGCGCTTAAGCGATTTCGCTCCTCGATACTTAACGAGTTGTTTCTCTGACCTGTTTGTGTCTCGTTTTTTCGTCAAGGTCCGTCCCCTCCATAACTGGGTCTTGTTTGACGGGTCTCCCCAGGTGGGTTCGGCCGATACACTCATCGTTTCCCATCTGGGTTTCGGTCCCTTCAAGGGTTTCCGATTCTCGGGGTTGCTGCCGCACTACCTACCACTGTCGGCACCTCCTTTTCCTTTCAGGTGGGTCTCTTTTCGCGTCCCGTTGTTACCAAGTGCACAATCTCAATTATCTCAGCAGCGGCTTGCACCTCCTTAAATGAGGATACTTCCGGATTCAACTCCTTTTTCCACAGTTCCTGCTGGATCTCTGTATTCAATCCTGTCCATAATCGAGTTACCCAATCTCGTTCATCAATGTCCCCAATCATGTTCCACAACTCATTGAGTTCATAGATATAATCGCGCACTGGTTTGTCGTTCTGAAAGCACCTTTTTAGCTTTTCATGTTGCTTTGTCCTAAAGTTGATAGGGAAACAATAGTTGAACATCTCCGTAAAGAACTCTCTCAGTCTCCAATGGTATGGATCTCCTGATACCTCTCGAATATAGAATTCATGGGCTTTACCCTTCAGGTAATGCGACAGAATGAACACCTTCTTTTTGGAGGGTACCTTACCATCTTCCACATAGGCTGTGCCCTCGGTTATAAATCGATGAAACGCCCTAGAATCTACCATTGTGGGTACAACAAGTGCAGCAGAGGGAAATCGATCTACTACACAGTTGGGTCTTTCCTGCCTATTGCCTCACTTGAGAGCAAGTGCGTTCGACCCTAAAGGGGATTGCTACTGGGGAGTACTAGTCTCTGTCTAAACGACCCTAATCAACCCTCCCGCAGGTAGGATGAGGATCCGCAAAAATGCGGAACAAGCAGAACAAGCGGAACTCGCACGGAACAAGCAGAACCCGAGCGGAACTCAAGCGGAATGGAAAGGAATGAAACGGAACTCAAACGGATAAAGCGCGGAACGTACTGATTCGTCGGAACTCGCAGGCGAAGTCGAAGGAAGTATATCACAAGGTTAGATTGATAATGGGCATAAGTCAAAGCGGTCCTCTAGTAAGGTGAAGGAAAAGTGGGAAGGTAAAAGATGGGATTCGATAAAATACCCCCAAGCCCTGAGTACCACTACTTAAAGGGAAGATTATTTTTAAGGAACACTGAGGTACAGGTAGTAAGTCTCTCAGGAAGTGGAAGTGAAGGCAGGCAGTGCACATGGGCGCAATACTCCGGAATAGGGGTCCGTGCCATAAGGGCATGTGTCAGTTTGATCCGGATAACGTTAGGAACAGCAGGAAGAGGGATACAGCATACCAATGGACCTGGAAGGATGGGGACAGGACATGCGAAGGTTGTCCGACAATGCATGGGAATATTGGATAGTGTGGGCGGGTTCCGAAGGATGCACGGGAAACGCGGAATGTGCAGAATACGTGGAACTGATGTGAGATGATGCGGAAAGGACGGGGTTTTACACCTACAGTGGGGGAATTCCCCACACTGTGCCATCGTACACCATGGGTGGTATTGGTTTCAGCGTGGTTTTTTCCTTCCTTCTTCTTGTTTTTCTCTTGGAGTGCTTATGCCTTCATTTAGTGGTTTCATCACTCATTTGGGACTCGGTCGAGCTCGACTCATTGTCAGAGCTGTCTGAGCTATCGTAGCTCGAGTCCAACGACAAGTCTGAGTCACCGGGTCCGGTCCTGGTACGACCGATTCTCCCTAATGCCTGTCTGATGTAGGACTTCGGTGCTACCTGGTGTACAGGCTCCATAGCCTGTGGGGTGTGTCTCCGTTCCCGCCGGTCCGAGGTGGGGTTAACCACTTTGTCCACGAGGGTCTTTATGGGATCTCTGTTCAGCTGTTTTGCTCGGGGCATTGCGAGCTGTCCCTTTGCTATCATTGCAGTGAGTTCCTTTAATTTCTTTTCGTACTCCTTCCGCAGATGTTCCTCTGCTTTAGCTACAGCGACCTTTACCACCTCTTCTTCTCTGGCGGCTTGATCGTTGTCGTCCCTTTGACACCCTCGGGGATCTCCAGGTTCGTCCCCACTTGGGTCCTCGGATTCTGATTCACCGGCCATCCGTTTGGCCAGTTTGTAGGATTCTAGAGCCGCGCGTTGGGCCTCCATATCCAATTCTCCCTCTTCTAGGTTCATTGCTCCCCAGTTCCGAGGGTCCGGACCTTTTCCCTTGGATGGTCCTTCCCCAGGGGACTCCGTGTCATTTCCACGGTCATGCCTAACACTATACTTGCGTCGGTTCACTCTGGTGCATTCATCTTCTGTCAGCTGTTGTTCAGCTGCGCTAACTACCTTCTTTTGTTCTTTTGTTAGCTCATCGGGTCTCTTTGCCCGGCTCTTGTTGACATCGTTGAAGATCGTCTTTCAGTTGCATTTTCTTGCAACGGTCGACCAAAAACGATCATCATCGTCCTCGGGTTGGCTGGTGAGTCCTTTGTTCTCACTTGCCGTTTCATAACTCATTATGTCCGCGGATTTCTCTGCCGGTGCTGGTACATTTTCAGCTGTCGGTATCTCGACTAAAGTACTCGCAGCTAGTCTAATCTCCCTGTCGACCCAAGGGTCAACTGAGGGGGTTCGCACACGGACCACATCACTGTACGAACGAACGGGTCTCAGTGCGGGTTGGATTTCATTTTCGGTCTCGTAGGACCGTCCCTCAGAAGTTAAAGGGGATCCCGCAGCATTGGGCGGTTCCGCCGGTGATCTCGGGCCCTCCACCGGGGTTTTAACACTTGATAGTAGGTTAACAATGAGATTTCCGAAGTCATCACGCACCTTTACATTTTTCTTGTGGGCGGGGGTAGAAACTGAGCTGGCTCTAGTGCGAGTGCGCGAGTGGGTATTATACGTGGTTTGTTTGGGTTTTGAAGACATGTTCGGAGTAGTCATCATTGATTAACGTGGTGGGCCAGACCAGTTGACGAGGTGACCAGAGAAGGTTTTAAAGATAAGCTAAGACTCGGTTGAAGGTGAAAAAATATGTGACGGCAGTCAAAGTTGATAAGACTTGATGTGTCGGCACAAGGAATAGAATAGAATAGAACAGAATAGAATCCTTATCGCAAAGTCACCAGATACCAGTCTGATTCAATTGGAAAAGAACTAAGGGATCTTTACAGTACGAGTAGGGTTTAAATACCAGTAGCTTGTGAAGAGCCCGTGATAAAGAGAAATCAAATACTTCTAAGACACTCGAGTCACTCTATGTCAGAACCACGAACGTCGGCTTAGGCACCTAGTTCTTGGCTTCGTCTATTCTTTCTGCCTCGATCTCTATCCTCGATCGTGGCAACGCCACAGCTACCACTACATGACAGGCGTTTATAGGTAAAGGGGCAGTGACGATGGAAATTTAAATTTAAATGAAACACGCCATACCCGCGTGATACGGAAGAACCCAGGATAAGCGCCTACATGAGTTGGGTCATGGGCAGAAGTCCATCACTACCCACCGCCCACAAGATCCCCAACGCAAGGATATCCTAAACGTACGGTTCTTGTCAACTTCGAAGGCTTCTAACAGTCTATCTCTCTGTCTAGGTCAACGCGAGATGCCAGGGGTGCCTGATGCAGCAAAAGATACGGATCTCACTTTGAGAGGACAGACGGCGCCTGCGCCGACAACGCGAGGGACACTGATGCCAACGAGGATGATGCAAGGGCATACGGACGGCGTAGAAGCAGTCGCGTTCTTCAAAGACAGTCGACGGGCCATCACTGGTTCATATGACAAAACCCTGCGAATTTGGGATGTGGAGACAGGAGCACTGGTGGGAGTACCATTCAAGGGACACACGGACTGGGTGAGATCCGTGACCGTATCACAAGATAACAGGCGAATCGCGAGCGGTGGAGATGATAACACCATCATCATCTGGGACGTCGAGAGCAATTATATCGTATTCGGTCCGCTGGTAAAGCATACTGGCATGGTTCGGTCGGTGTGCTTCTCCCCTGATGGCAAGAGACTCGCAAGTGGGTCGAATGATAAAACGGTTGTTGTATGGAATGCAGAGACTGGCGCTGTCCGTGCAACACTCGAGGGTCATAGTAATTACGTGCTGAGTGTGGCATTCAGCCCAGATGGTCTCAAATTAGCCTCTGGATCGCACAGTACTATCCGAGTTTGGCGCGCCGACAACGCGAAGCTTCTTTTCAAGTTTTGCGCTCATCAACATTGGGTGCAAAGCGTTGTGTGGCACCCTGACGGTCAGCAACTTGTTAGTGCATCATTCGACAAAAGAGTCAAGTTCTGGAACTCATCGAATGGATACCTGATTGGTCAACCTTGCACTGATCACACTGACGAAATCTACTCGCTCGCCATCTCGTATGATGGCTCCTTCGTTGCCACTGCCTCAAACGACAAGACCGTGCGGCTGTGGAGCACAAAGACACACCGGCACATAGGTCAGCCACTCAAACACACCACGAGCATTGGGTCTGTCACAATTTCTCCCAATGGAGAACTACTCGTTACTGGAGATCACAACGGAAACGTGCTGGTCTGGTCTATCAAGGAGATACTTGAGCAACACAACGCGGGAGAAAAGACCAAGGACAATGAAGGAGCGCAGCGACAGCAACTCCTTACTCTCAGTGATGTGCAGGTACGCTGTCTCCCTTATTTTTGGTTTGTCTACAGTTCATTCACATTGTTCTCGGTGGTGCCACACAGCCGCGCAGTCATGACTCTAACAACGAGCTCTCTGAAAATAACGATGGTGCAAGTGACCATGCTTCGCAACAACCGTCTGGGACTGACGACAACCCCTCATTATTTGACGTGAGCTACTTTCGATTTGTATCTTGATCACGGAACGTGAACTCACTTCATGTAGATCCCTGCTATAAACACGACACTACCCAATGCATGCATCACTGAGAATCCGCATACTGCTGAATACTTCCTGACACAAGAGACCGACGCAGCTAACAACAACCACGACTCATGCGCCAACAAGGAAGACGCTGCAGACGAATTGATCAAACATGACGAGGAAGCACAGAGACAGCAACTCCCTTCCCGTAGTGACACACACGTATGCTCTTTCACATTCTTATTCCGCCCTTCTATTCATTAACACGACAAACAGCTACTGGTGCGCAGTCACGAGAACGAACACGAGCTCACCGGCGATCACGACAGTCCAAGCAATCATCCCTCGGAAACTGACCAAGCCTCTGCCAGTGATGACAATCACTCATTGTTTGACGTGAGCTTTTGCCTTCGATGCGTTTATTTATCACGCAACATGAGCTTTTTTCATGCAGATCCTGGCTATAAACAAGACAGCTCGCAATGCATGCATTGCTGGGGACCTCCACATCGCTGAAGACCTGCTGACCCAAGAGATCGATGCAGATGGCAATAACCACGATTCGTATGCTAATCGCTCTGTTGTAAGGTCGCGGAACTCCGAGTGGGACAAAGCCCTCCAAGACTCGGTCAAGGTCAAATGCTCTGCACATTATGACACTCTTGGTGTTGACTCTGCTTAGTGATATAGTCCATTGCCATCCAGCCCTCGTTATTGGGCCACATTTCTAAGGCCATCGCCCTCTGCGGCAACAAGCAGCTCTGGGACGCCTCAGAAGCTTTCGATCTCGCCTTCGTATTTTCGAACCGTGATCCGATCATCGTTGGTCTTTTATTATTGATCAAGGTACTCTCGTCGCTGTGTTCAGAGTCTGTCTGTCGTACTAATACTTTGATGTCATCTTGTCCAGGCTATTGTACTTTTCAATGCCGGTCACCACGATGAGGCAATGCGGCGAGTTCACGACCTCGCCACTGCTTGTCATCAGACGGATACACTTCCATGCAGCATTGTCAACGTGAGCTCTATGTCATACTTCACGAGTTTTCTCACTTTGGAACACACTCTTCAGTCATATCTACGCGTGCAGCTTGCAATAATCGCTTTCGATGACAGGCGGTACAGTGAAGCCGCGGATTGGCTTAGTATTCCTAGTATAACCGACTTGTTCTCTCGCAAAGCACGCGTTGAGCCTAGATGGAAGATATTCACGGTGGTGCGTCACTACTACGAAGCTTCAGAGCACACCTTCACTGATTCATGATGTGCTGGACAGCTCTTCGGCTGGGACTTGGATTCATTATGGAAAACCGTCAACCAAAGGCGGTGTGATGCACTCCTCCGCGCTGATCGAGTGATCGAAGCGGTCGAATCTCACCAATACACAATGCGCATGATTGACGAAGATGCGAAGGAGAGCCACTTCGAATGGTCCACTGGTGGGTGCTTTGGGGTCGTATACAACTTGAATATCGACACTTACTCTGAGATCGTTTAGCCTTCAAGGAAAACTGTACTGTGCGCTGTCTTGCAAAGGGAGACAAAGCTCTTACTGCCAGCAATTACGAGGCGGCTATTGAACTATATTCGGCAGGAATCAGGCTTGACTCTTCATGCGAGTCCCTTTTTGCGCACCGCAGCAAGGCAAATCTTGAAGGAAACATTTATGTGGAGGCCCTTTTCGATGCGGAAAAGGTGCGTACGATGTTCATCATTTGTTTAGAAATTGTCTGATATCTGCAGCGCAGGTCATCGAACTCGATCCTTCTTCTTTCCTGGGATACGAACTAAAGCATGCAGCGCTTCACGGCGCACAACGTTATGATGAAGCAATGGAGGCCTTCAAAATCATGCTCTCGAAGTCGGATAATGCTTCGCATGTGCAGATGCGAAGTAAGCCTGAACCTCTTATCCGTCAACGTGAAAATCATGAACACTTTCTCCAGAGCTGCATCAGCAGTATCAGTATGTCAATCCGTCTGATATTGAAGGCATTATCCGACAAACCATTGACGCTAAACTGGAAAATGCTCCGCTTCGTCTAATCAACACCTCTACTGGGCGTATGTGCAATCGAGAAGCACAGATCAAAGCCTTTATGGAAAGTGCAGAGTACAAGGAGATTTCACCTTCAACGATGATGTATGCGCCCCTCCAAATGGAGCCCATCAAAACAGCGGTTGCGAAGTACTTCAGTTGGGCTATGCTATCGCATAGGTGGCAAAGCAATGAGCTACTGCTGCACAACATCCAGGACAAGGTCGTGTATGATTTGGATCCAGTCGGAACCACGGAGAAGTTGCAGACATTCTGCAAAATTGCTCGTGATGCGGGGCATCGCTGGGCGTGGAGCGATACATGCTGCATCGACCAGAAGAACAATGTTGAGCTTCAGGCATCGGTCAACTCCATGTTCGTTTGGTATCGCCACTCAGGACTCACGATCGTTTATCTACCGGATGTTCTGCCTTCGTCGAAGTCAGGCACACTTGCAAACAGTGTTTGGAACACCCGAGGATGGACTGTTCAGGAATTCCTGGCTCCTAGCATTGTTCTATTCTACCGAGCAGATTGGAGTCTATACCTCGATGACCACTCCTCCAACCACAAAGAGTCTGCCACTATCATGCAGGAGTTGAGGGATTCGACCGGTATAGATACACGGGCGCTTGCTGCCTTCCAACCGGGGATGAGAGATGCCCGAGAGAAACTTCGATGGGCGTCGAAACGTGTCACAACGTTTCCGGAAGACATTGCATATTCACTGTTTGGCATTTTCGGCGTCCACTTACCTGTCATTTATGGCGAGATGAAGCAGAATGCACTCGGTCGGCTCTTGCAAGAGATCGTAGCACAGTCGGGCGATATCACTGCCCTGGACTGGGTTGGGACATCATCACAGTTTAATAGCTGTTTGCCAGCCGACATCGCCTCATACCACCCTCCACCATGCATGCCGCCATCTCTATCTGAAGATCAGATACAAGCATCAATCTCGTCGTTGGGACATGCCACTGTTGTGGAGCAGGCATCGGCACTGTATACCAGGCTTAACCACCTCAGCGCTCCTCGTTTCGCGAACCGCAGACTGCAACTGCCTTGTAT